ACCACCACCGCTCGGCTTCCACATCCCAATCTTCTAGTTGTGCAAAGCACTACGCTTCCAGAGTCTATACGTCCAATCTCCTACGTCTACCTCGGAGTTACAACATCGGGAGACTCTCGATTTATATAGAAACCCTTGTTTGAGCCAAGCTCGGAATCTCAGGTTCTGCAGCTCAGTTCTGTGTGGCCCTGGACAAATCCTTCCACCTCTGGAAGCCTCCACCTCTGGAAGCCTTCACCGCCGCCCACCTGCCCTCCATAAAACTCCTGAGTCAGTTTCCCCAGAGGCCGCTTCTCCCAAGGGCACCTATGTAGGTTACAGGTAAGCCTCAGAGCCACTAGCCGGTAGAGACCAGGACTATCCGCGCGTGACTACAAGCTCCGACAGGCATCGCGCCGCGGAAGAGGCAGTGCCCCTTCCGGCGCCCCGCCCCGGAAGATAAGGCTGCTTGCCGCCGCGTATTTCCTCTTTCGGCCGTGCTTGCCGGCAGGTAGGTTGTGTACAGTTCGTTCCCGGCTTGAAACGATCCACCGCCATCTGCCACCGTCACCTACCCGGTGGTCTGTCATGCTGCCTGGCCCACTCATCTAGGACAGGGAGGGAGGGATGGCGGCGTCTGCGGCCTTGGGAGCTGGCGGGGACCTGGTTTTCTGCACGCTGAATGTGAACCCTTTCCAGACTCGCCGCCATGGGCCGTGTGATCCGAGGGCAGAGGAAAGGCGCCGGTTCTGTGTTCCGCGCGCACGTGAAACACCGTAAGGGCGCCGCGCGCCTGCGAGCTGTGGACTTCGCGGAGCGGCACGGTTACATTAAGGGCATTGTAAAGGTATGAGGGCACCGGCTGGGGCAAGCAGGGCAACAGGGTGCCTCGAGGAGACCGTCTCACCTTCTCAACCTGCCCCATAGGATATCATTCATGACCCCGGTCGCGGCGCTCCCCTCGCCAAAGTGGTTTTTCGTGATCCCTACCGGTTTAAGAAGCGGACAGAGCTGTTCATCGCCGCAGAGGGAATCCACACCGGGCAGTTTGTGTACTGCGGCAAGAAGGGTGAGCTTTAAGGCGGGGAAGGACGGGCTGGGCCTAGGACTTAGAATGCTGTGCCTCATAGTGTGGGAACCGTGTGGCTTCGCATTGCTTTTGGCTTTACCGGCCGCTTGGTCACTTCTCTCCACAGCCCAGCTGAATATCGGCAATGTTTTGCCCGTGGGCACCATGCCTGAAGGTACTATCGTATGTTGTCTGGAGGAGAAGCCTGGGGACAGGGGCAAGCTGGCACGAGCCTCCGGGAACTATGCCACAGTCATCTCCCACAATCCGGAGACCAAGAAAACGCGAGTGAAGCTGCCTTCAGGGTCCAAGAAGGTCATTTCCTCAGCCAACAGAGCTGTCGTTGGTGAGTGCCACAGAGGAGTGGAACCCTCCAGACTGGGTGGTCAGCATGTGAACAGCCAGCTGCTAGGCCTGGGACCTAGAACCAGATTTCTCATTTCCTTGTTCTTGGGGGCACCAACTTTGAACACAGGATACTCGTGTGGGTTGAATTGTAGAATAGTACGATATCTACTTTGTGGGTTTCTTCCAGCATGGGCTGTAGAGATGGCTCAGTGGATGGAAGCAATGGTTCTCTAGAGAGCAACCGGGTTCCTTTTCTAGCTCAGAGATGTAACTCGAGTCCCAGGGAATCTGGTGCTCTCCTGGTGTCTGCACAAATGTGCACAGGTCTGTACATGCATCCATATACAAACAATTTAGGTGCACTGTGACCTAACCTAGAACCTGAATCCTGTGCTTGTGTGTGGTTCTTTTAGAGAAAATGAGGCCAGTCAGTATTGGGTGACTTCTAAAAGATGTCCATGAAGTGGGACATGAGTCAGATTCTCATGTTTGGTTACTTGGGAATGTTTCACAACCGGCCAAACTCATGGCTGCTCAGGGTAGGTTCCGAGGATATATGTTCACAGAGAGCGTTTTTTGTTTTTTTTTAATATTTATTTATTATGTATACAACATTCCTTCCATGCCTGCCTGCATACCAGAAGAGGGCACCAGACCCCATTACAGATGGTTGTTAGCCACAATGTGGTTGCTGGGAATTGAACTCGGGACCTTTGGAAGAGCAGTCAATGCTCTTAACCTCTGAGCCATCTCTCCAGCCCCCCACAGAGAGCGCTTTTGTTCAGTGGAGTTTGCTGTTTGTATGGGAGGTGTCTTCAGAGGCTGAAGGACCAGTCCTGAATGACAGATTGCAGAGTAAGGGGTTCCCTAGCTGAGGTTTGCTGAAATGCTCAGGCACCTGGATGGTACATTTCCTTGAGGCTGACAATGGTCTTGGGGTTGTAGATTCCTGGCACAGCACTAATGGGGGTGGTATTTGAGACCCGAGGGCTTTGTGGTGCACATCTCAGAGGTGTCCTTTATTTCTGCAGGTGTTGTGGCTGGTGGGGGCAGAATTGACAAGCCTATCTTGAAGGCTGGCCGTGCCTACCACAAGTACAAGGCCAAGAGGAACTGCTGGCCACGCGTACGTGGTGTGGCCATGAATGTAAGTAACCAAGAAGTGGGCGTGGGATAGTATTCCTGTGCTGGGAGGATCTGCAGCAGGGAGGTCCTAGGCAGGGGGTTCTGCCAGCCTTCCCCAGATAGGTGAGATTATTACCTTTACTCTAACCTCATTCTCTATCTCTCTACAGCCTGTAGAGCATCCCTTCGGAGGTGGTAACCATCAACACATTGGCAAACCGTCCACTATCCGAAGAGATGCCCCTGCTGGACGCAAAGTGGGTCTCATTGCTGCCCGCCGGACTGGGCGACTACGTGGAACCAAAACTGTACAGGAGAAGGAGAACTAGAACTCAGGAGCTAATAAAAGTATGTCCTTTGGCTAATAGGCTGTGTGTGAGCCTCAATTTTCTTTTTTTTTTTGGTGGGGGGAATCCCTGCCATGTAGCCCCTTGGTACAAGGAAGTGACCTGAGTGTGGGTCAGAAGATGACATGCTAGAGGGCATGTGAACATGGTGTGCTGGGTCCTGGAATTTGGGTGGGTCCTCATTTTTATTGTGTATATTAGTGTACAGGTACATTGCAGAGCCTGACTGGATGTCAGAGGACTAGGTGTTCTCTGGAGATTGAACTCAGGTTGTCAAGCTTGGTGGCAAAGCATTTTACCAATTGAGCCATCTTGCTAGCTCAATGAGTTAAATTTTCACTAGGGGTATTAGGACATCCTAGATGAATAAATTTATGGCGCTATTTTCTCAACACAAGCTAGAGCCATTTGGGAAGAGGGACTCTGAATTGAAAGAACCTCTCTACATGCTTGGCCTATAGGAAGTCTACTGGGCCTTTTCTTGATTAATGATTGATGTGGGAGGGCCACGCCTGGGCAGGTGGCTATGAGTTATAAAAGAAAAACATTGAGCAAGTCATGCAGCATCTCCCTTAGCACCACTTACATGTGAACTGTGATGTGGATGTGAACCCAGTTAACCCTTCTCAAGCAGCTTCTGGTCACGGTATTCTATCAACAGCCATAGCAACAAATTTGTGCCAATATCGACCATTTTGGTGGGAGGATTGTGGGCTAGGAGATGGCTGAGTTTTCAGGAACTCAGAAAATGGTAGTACAGATGGTGTTTTCAGAAGGAAGTTTTGAGAAACACAAAAGACTAGAGGCAGATATTTGGTTTTTCGACAAGGGTTTATCTGGCCCTGGCTATGAACTCTAGAGACCTCAGCTGCCTCTTGAGTGCTGGAACTAAAGACATGCATCACCATGCCTTCTGTTTTGAGACAGAATTCCACTATGTAGCTGTGGCTGCCTTTTCTAGGACTAGAGGCATATACCACCATGCTGGTGAGAATTCAGTTAAGAATCTGTTCTGCTCAGCTGAGAGGAATTTAGCCAAGATACTAAAACCATTAAAGTCAATCGTTGCTGGAATAATCTGGCTCAGCTGGGCTTTAATTAGTTGTGATTAAGAGATTGGTGTATGCCTTTAATCCCAACAGAGGCAGCCCTGGTCAACAATGTGAGTTCAGAACAGCCAGGGTTACACAGAAACCCTGTGTGTGTGGCGGGGGTGTGAGGAGGGCGCGGTAATCACCATTAGGGTGAAACCTGGGAGGTGTTTGCCTATTTAGGGTTAGCATCCAGAAAGAAGCTGTGGTCCTGAGGCAGGTAACTGAACTCGATGTGTGGGTTCAAGCTGAGGCTTGGCACTGAGAGGCCAGTGAAGATGCTGCCTCAGTTGTAGAAGCCCTAGGGCTGAAGGGCTCCTGGAGAGAAACCCAGGCCTGGCACCATATGGCAGGGTTAGAGCTCTTGAATAGATGCTACTACCACAGGACCAACAGGTGTGTGTGAGTGGATCCTACCTGAACTTTATGAAAGCAGCCATGAAGAGCAAGCTAGTAAGCAGTGTTACTCCATGGCCTGTATAGGAGTTTCTACTTGACTTCCTGTGATGTGGGAGTGAAATAAACCCTTTCTTTGCTAAGTTGCTTTGGTTATGGTGTTTCATCAGGACAGATAAGACAGACACCAAACAGTTTACATAAATTCTCACTAATGTATATTTTTCCTTTTCCAAACACTTAGAGCTGCCATTTCAGAATATTTCATAAGAATATTTTAAAAGCCGGGCGGTGGTGGCGCACGCCTTTAATCCCAGCACTCGGGAGGCAGAGGCAGGCGGATCTCTGTGAGTTTGAGGCCAGCCTGGTCTAGAAGAGCTAGTTCCAGGACAGGAACCAAAAAAGCTACAGAGAAACCCTGTCTCGAAAATAAAAAAAAAAAAAAGAATATTTTAAAATATTAGTTTTATCTATGTGTGTGCATATCACACACTCTTGCTTGGATCTCACATGGAAGCCTGTGGGAGTTGGTTCTCTCCTCCCACCTTGTGGGTTCTGGAAAGCAAACTCAGGTTATCAGGTTTTATCCACTGAACCCATCATCCCTCTGGCTCAAGAATTTTTTTTAAAATGATACTTTACATACATAGTACTTAAGTGTTTAATAAATACCAAAAATAAGTTGGTTGGTGCTGGCACACGTCTTTAACCCCAGCAGTAGGGAGGCAGAGGCATGTGGATATCTGAGTTTGAGGTCAGTCTGGTCTACAGAGTTCCAGGATTGCCATGGCTACACAAAGACCTTTCAAAGTAGGCCCCCCCCCCCAAAAAAAAGATAACTGAAAATAGTCCAACATTCTAAATTTAAATACAGCATTTGAATGACCAGATGTATTTAGGAAAGGTGTGAAGCTTGTAAGACAACTCCATTTGAAATGTCAATATAGTCTTTTCAGTTGCTTCAATAAACTGATTCATGTCAAATAATCAAAGGCAGAATTATGGCTAACTTTACCATTATCCACAATTATAGGATTCTCCACTATAACCTCAAGATGGTTAGGGAAAAAAGGTAACACCAGTAGAATGTTTTTCTCTAGAAGGAAAAGGAATTGTGACATTGAGCCACCAAGGAAAAGGTCCTGCAGATTTACCAGAACTGGGAAATGTATTGTGCAGGTTCTAAGTTGGGCTTCTGACCGCCATGGGTCACAGCTTCTTGTGTACTTTCTGGTGCTGGATCAGGTGCCCGTGCTGGTTGAAGGCACGCCCACACTCCCCACACTCATAGGGTTTCTCTCCCGTGTGGATCCGCTGGTGTTGGATGAGCACCGAGTACTGGCTGAATGCCTTGCCACAGCGATTGCACTCGTAGGGCTTCTCACCGGTGTGGGTCCTCAGGTGCACGATGAGAGTTGCTTTCAGGCTGAAGGCTTTGCCACACTCTGTGCACTGAAAGGGCTTCTCGCCGGTGTGGATTCTCTCGTGCTGGATCAGAGACCTGCGCGCACTGAAAGCATGCCCGCATTCGCCGCACACATAGGGTTTCTCCCCGGTGTGGACCCGGAGGTGCTGGATGAGGTGCGAGTGCTGAACGAAGGCCTTCCCACACTCGTAGCACGCATAGGGCTTCTCCTCCGTGTGAATCCGCTCGTGGTTCATTAGGGTGGAGCGGTGGCTGAAGGTCTTGCCGCACTCACTGCACTCGTACGGCTTTTCCCCGGTGTGCACGTTGTGATGCTGGATGAGCACCGAGCGGTCACTGAAGGCCTTGCCACACTCACTACACGTGTAGGGTTTCTCGCCGGTGTGGACCCGCTGGTGCTGCAGCAGCGTTCTCTTCACGCTGAATGTCTTCCCACACTCGCTGCACCCATGAGGCTTCTCTCCAGTGTGCACCCTCTGGTGGCTCCGCAGGACAGTACTGTGGTTGAAGGCTTTCCCGCACAAGGGGCACACATAGGGCCTCTCCCCCGTGTGGATCCGCTGGTGCTGGATGAGGTGGGAGAGCTGAGTGAACGCCTTCCCACACTCTAGACATTCGTGAGGCTTCTCTCCCGTGTGGATCTTGTGGTGCTGGGCAAGGTCCGAGCTCACTCTAAAGGCTTTCCCACATTCGTTGCATTCGTAGGGCTTTTCGCCGGTGTGGATCCGCCTGTGCTTGCTGAGGACAGAGCTCTGGCTGAAGGCCTTCCCACACACATGGCAGACATAGGGCTTCTCACCAGTGTGTATTCGCTGGTGCTGGAGGAGGTGAGAGCTCCGACCAAAGCATTTTCCACACTCGATGCATATATAGGGTCTCTCTCCGCTAGGAGCCACCTGGGGTCTAGCAAGTGGGACATTAGGACTTGATACCTGGGCAGTATGGGGGCCAACAGGGGCTGGATTTGGGCAGATGTTCTGCTCTGTTTTGCAATGTTCTTCATTAGCCTCCTTCAACGATGTTTCCCCCAGAATCACTGCTTTTTCGTCTGAGATCAATGGCTGTAAGTTCAAGTTTGTGTTTTGGTTTTCTTCCTTGGTTTTCCATTCTGAAACAACAAATACAAAATGAAAAGGTTAACACTCGCCGGGGTAGTGGATGGGTGGTACATGCCTGTAATCCCATGTATTCTGTCAATTATATTTTAAATAATTCACAGGCAGGAGGACTGTGAATTCAGTATTTAAGTGAGAGCACTTGCCTCTAGCAAGCAGAGCCCACCACAGCCCAAGAAAGTGCTGCTATCAATAAACCATGCTTAACTCTATTATTTTATGTCTAGAATTACTTCTCAAGCTCTCTCAGGCTTTATGTGGATGCAGTTGTCCACACATTGGGCAACATTCTGTTGACTGAGTTTTCTGTCCTGCCCGGTTCCTGCAGTATTAAGTCCCAAAGAAATCATACAGAGGTCTACATTAACTATAAACTGATTGGCCCATTAGCTCAGGCTTCTTATTAACTCTTACAACTTATATTAGCCCATTATTCTAGTATATGTTAGCCATGTGGCTGGGTACCTTATTCAGCGAGGCAGTCATATCTTGCTTCTTCTGTGGCTGGGTCAGAACTGCCAACCAAGCTTTCCTCTTCCCAGAATTCTCCTGTTCTTGTTGCCCTACCTCTACTTCCTGCCTGGCTACTGGCCAATCAGCATTTATTTAAAATATAATTGACAGAATACAGCCCATTGTCCCACACCACTTAACCACTTCTCCATGGTCTTATCTGCAGACTTCCCTGAGTGGGTTGTCATACTTGATGGACAGCCTAGGATAGGAAGCCCCACAGAAAGATGTAAATTTAAAATGTGTGCGCATGCACGGAGGGCGGGGAGGGGGGGCAGTACATGGACTGTGTGCACAGGGAGATCAGAGGACAACTTTTCGGACTTAGTTCTCTCCCTCCAACCCTTATGTGTGTTCTGGGGATTGAACTCAGGCTTGGCTTCCAGGCTTGCATTGCTTACCTTTATCTGCAGAGATACCTTACAACTCCGAAAGTCTCACATTTTTGAAGGACATACAAGGGTCTCTGGCAAGGACCAGTGGGATCAACAACTTTGGGGCAAAGTACAGATTTAGTAAGCTTTGCTGCAGAGGCCAGGACCACAGGCAAGTACAGCGTCAGCTCTTCCTCTTCCATTCCCTTCTATGTCAGGATAGTAAAGAACTAGGTGTTCTTACTCCTTGGAGTGAACTGGTGGGCCATGCATGTATTGGCCCCCCCCGACATGAGGGAGGCTATGGCAGTCCTTTTTGGTTTACTTTATCTTATATGCACTGATGTTTTGCTTGCACGTATGTCTGCATAAAGGTGTCGACTCCCCAGAACTGGAGTTAGATAACTATAAGCTGGCATGTGGGTTCTGGGAATTGAACCCAGGTCCTTTGCAAGAGCAGCCAGTTCTCTTTTTTATTTGTTTTTCTGAGACAAAGTTTCTCTGTGTAGCCCTGGCTGTCCTAGAACTCACTCTGTAGACCAGGCTGGGCTGGAACTCAGAGATCTGCCTGCCTCTGCCTCCCAAGTTAACGACATGTGTGACCTCTAACTGCTCAGCCATCTCTCCAGTCCAGCACATGCATGTCACCCTCGGTTGTGGCCTGAGCTATGGAGTCACTAGATGCTTCTGTTCTCCTAGAGAATCTGTTTTGTTTCTTCCCTCCCCAGGAAGCCTGAAGGCTCTTCAAGAGGATCTATCAATCCCCTATGGCCGACCTCCATAGGCAGCTTCGGCAGTATCTGAAAATTCTCCTCACCCCCACCCCCAGTCTGCTATGGTCACAGTCAGTGGCTTGCTCTGCAAAGCCAGTCGTATTTGTCCTGGTTACTCAGAAAGGTTAGGCAGGAGGATCACTTCAGCTTGGAGAGGGAAAGAAAAAGGAAAAAAATTTCTTTGCAAGATTTCTGTGACGTAATGCTGTGTCCTTGCGGCTGTCACGTGACTATTTCTCAGAGGAGATTGGATTTCAGGATAATGAGATTTTTTTGTTTTGTTTTGTTTTTTTTTTTGATTTTGAGACAGGGTTTCTCTGTAGCTTTGGATCCTGCCCTGGAACTAGCCTTCGTAGACCAGGCTGGCCTTGAACTCACAGAAATCCACCTGCCTCTGCTGGGATTAAAGGTGTGTGCCACCACTGCCCGGCAAGAGAGGATAATTCTTTTTTTTTTTTGTACTTTCTTTAAAGATTTATTTATGGGCTGGAGAGATGGCTCAGCGGTTAAGAGCATTGCCTGCTCTTCCAAAGGTCTTGAGTTCAATTCCCAGCAACCACATGGTGGCTCACAACCATCTGAAATGAGGTCTGGTGCCCTCTTCTGGCCTTCAGGCATACACGCAGAAAGAATATTGTATACATAATAAATAAATAAATATTAAAAAAAAGAATCTTTAAAAAAAAAAGATTTATTTATTTATTTATTTTTGGTTTTTCGAGACAGGGTTTCTCTGTGGTTTTGGAGCCTGTCCTGGAACTAGCTCTGTAGACCAGGCTGGTCTTGAACTCACAGAGATCCACCTGCCTCTGCCTCCCGAGTGCTGGGATTAAAGGCGTGCGCCACCACCGCCCGGCGATTTATTTATTTATTAAACATACAATGTACTGCTGGAAAGGAAAGCACCAGGACTCATTACAGATGGTTGTGAGCCACAATGTGGTTGCTGAGAATTGAACTCGGGACCTCTGGAAGAGCAGCCAGTGCTCTGACCCTCTGAGCCATCTCTCCAACCCCGGAAGGATAATTCTTTTTTTTTTTTTTTTTTTTTTTTTGATTTTTCAAGACAGAATTTCTCCGTAGCTTTTGGTTCCTGTCCTGGAACTAGCTCTTGTAGACCAGGTTGGTCTCGAACTCACAGAGATCCGCCTGCCTCTGCCTCCCAAGTGCTGGGATTAAAGGTGTGTGCCACCACTGCCTGGCTTTATTTATTATCTATACAACATTCTACCTCCATGTATGTCCACACGCCAGAGGGCGCCAGATCTCATTACAAATGGTTGTGAGCCACCATGTGGTTGCTGGGAATTGAACTCAGAACCTCTGGAAGAGCAGCCGGTGCTCTTAACCACTGAGCCATCTCTCCAGCCCCCAGAAGGATAATTCTTAAGGGGAAAATGGCCACAGTGAAACACTGAAGTCAGTCAACCAGTATAGTTGTTGCTACGTTATCTCTTCCCACTTTGAGGGGCGCATCCAGGAAGAACAGGTTGGCTGTGGCTTTCCTGAGACCCTGATGTTACCTGCAGTCAGGGACTCTTCATCTAATGCAACTGTAAACACAGACTTCCAGATTGGACCTGGAAGATCACGTCATATCATTGTCCCTGTTACAATTTTTCCCAAGTAACTTAAATTTTTTTTTTTATGGTTACTGGTCTTTCCTTTCTCTTTCTGTGCCAATAACACCATGCCAACATGATGAATGTTCCTAAGACCCACCGGACATTCTGCAAGAAATGTGGTAAGCACCAAGCCCACAAGGGCAGGAAATAGAGTGGCTATGCTGGGCAGACTAAGCCTATTTTCCACGAAAAGACTAAAACTATAAAGAAGGGGGGATGGAGAGATGGCTCAGCAGTTAAGGGCACTGAGTCCTCTTCCAGAGGACCAGAGTTCAATTCTCAGTACCCACATGGCAGTTCACGACTCTCTGTAACTCCAAGATCTGACACCCTCACACAGACATGCGTGCAGGTAAAATGTCAATGCACATAAAATAAAAATAAACTATTAAAAAAAACTACAAAGAAGACCACGCTGCGACTTGAGTGTGTTGAGCCCAACTGCAGATCCAAGAGGATGCTGACATTTTGAACTAGGAGCTTTCATTTAAAAATACTTTTTATTTACTCTATGTGTATGAGTGTTCTCTGCTTGCATGTATGTCTGTGTACCACTTGTGTGCCTGGTACGTGTGGAAGCCAGTAGAGAGTGTAAGATCCACTGGAACTGGAGTTTCAAAGGCTTGTGGGCTGCCATGTGGGTGCTGGGAACTGAACTCGGGTCCTCTGAAAGAGCAGCAAATGCTCTTAACTGCTAAGCCATCTCATCATCATCCCAAGTAACTATCTGATGCTGCTATATATGTCATAATATTAATATTTATTTATACCTTTGTCTGTTGCTGACAATATAAATGATTTTTATTATCTAACAATATTTCTAGAAAATCTCTTTTTCCAAGTTAAAAATCATATAAACTTCAAACAATACTTTTCTTTTTCAATCCTTATAGTTTTGTTGTTTTTTTTTAACTTTGATTTATATAATACATGGTACCTTAGTACAATATTTCACAGGTCAAGGGATAGTAGATTCTTTTATACCCGAGATCACACTTCCAGCTCTTCACCATGAGTATCAGGTTGAAAAATTCCCCTTTTATACTAAGAGCCTTATTCTAAATCAAGTAACCCAGGCCGGGCGGTGGTGGCGCATACCTTTAAACCAGCACTCAGGACGCAGAGACAAGCAGATCTCTGTGAGTTCGAGGCCAGCCTGATCTACAGAGTTCCAGGACAGGCTCCAAAGGTACAGAGAAACACTGTCTCAAAAAACCATAAAAATAAAATATTCCGTAGCCTCTACAGGGCTCAGGATCCTGTCCTCCCTCCTCTGTACCTAGGCTCACCTCCCTATGTAGTTTCCTACCCCACCTGCGCTTCCTTCATGGACTACTGCTTGGCCCAGGCCCTCCCAGTCTGGGGACATTCTGTCAGAGGAAGAGTGACAGAGCCCTTCCCTGACCAATGGAAGCTTCTTCCATCAGCGGCTCCGTCTGAACTAGATTATACCTGCAGTGGAAGCAGGATTAATTCTCCTCACTCACCGGAGTGGCCACTTCCCAGGCCCTGGCTCGGCTCAGTGTCCTGCCCATCCAGCACCCATGGATCTTCTCCTCGCTCCAGCTGGGAGATCACAACAGGCTTGGATCCTGGGAGTCCTGCTCATGAGGAGGGAAGCCCCTGGATTATACAATATTTGCTAAAATACTCCCTTAATCCATGCTCTATGTGGGCACAGGAAAAGGACAAAGCTTCCTTTCTGTTGGAGCTGAATCCCTGAGGTGAGCAAGCCCCAGGACCAGTCTGCTCCGAGTGCCTCTCTTCCCAGCAGCTGTCCCATCTCTGGGAAACCTCCGACCTGAGTCCAGCACACAAAGACAAATGGAGCCCATGGAGGAGCCTTACCTAGCGAGACCACATTGCCGTAAGTCTCCATCATCACATTCCGATAGAGGCCCCGCTGAGCAGGGCCCAGGCGGGCCCACTCCTCCTGGGACAGCAGAACAGCCACGTCCTCGAAGGTCACCTTGACCTGGAATGGCCAGATTTTTAGTAACTTCGTGCCTGACAGGTAGTACATCTGCCATGGGGAACTAGTAGCGGGCCCCATAGAGTCACGTGAGCTCAGGAGAGGCAGTGATAGATGGACTGCTTGGGCACAGAAGGAGCTTTGGTCAAGCCACTGAATAAGCTTTTGGGACCACTCACCTGAGGTCCTGATGGCAGTGGCAGAAGTCCAGCTGCTGCCATCTTGGCGTCTTAGGTGTGTAAGGACAAGAGGAATCAGGATCCTGTGGGGCTGAGAAAGCCAAGAACACATGAGAGTCCAGTTCCACAGATCCTGACATCTGTGTGTGGGGGTGTCCCTTGTCAGGTAAAGTCAGTGACAGGCAGGCTGACAGCTGGGCAGTGGTGGCGCACGCCTTTAATCCCAGCATTTGGGAGGCAGAGACAGGTGGATTTCTGTGAGTTTGAGGCCAGCCTGGTCTACAGATCAAGTTCCAGGACAGGCTCCAAACCTACGGAGAAACCCTTTCTCGAAAAACAAAACAAAGCAAAGAAGGGCAGGCTGAAGTTAGACTCCAGGAGCTGAAGCCCTTGTAGTTCTGCTCTGTCTCCCCAGGCCCACGCTCACATTGGTATTCTCTAGTGCAGAGTCCTGAGCAAACATCTGGTTCCTGGGCTGTCCCCATCTAGTAGGCTTAGTCAGGGAAAGTCCCACTTGAAAAATGACAGGGAGCCAGAGGTTGTGATATCTTTGTGAGTTCAATTCCCAGCAACCACATGGTGGTTCACAACCATCTGTAATGAGATCTGGTGCCTGCTTCTGGCAGAACACAATATACATACTAACAAACAAACAAATAAATCGAAAAAATAAAAAAAGTACTTGTTACTTTTGCAGAGGACCCAGGTTTCTGCCCAACTTCAGTTCTAGGAGATCTAATACTTATTTCTGGCCTCTATGGTCTGTTACATATACATATGAAAATAAAATAATTTTTAGAATGATAAGGATCTCTAAGCATCTACCTATTGTTTTCTAAGGACTTAAAAGTTCCAGTCTTTCACAGCCTAGACCACTGGGGTCCCCATGAGTGACTGATCATATCTATGTGGGGAGCCAGTGAAGACTGGTTGCTGGCTGGCTCACCTTGGCCTGGCCTATGGTCCTGCCTGCTCACAAGGACAGTAGCTCCTCAGGGCCCTACATGCTCTATACTCAAGGCATTCATATGGCTCATATGAACCTAGAGGCATTAAGCCATGCGATCTCCCAAGAAGTACTCCCTCCAAAGTGGGAAGCGGGTCATCTACTTCTGTGGAAAACCACAGGCTCGGGCCCTTGCTTAGTCTTAGATAGCTTCTGTGCTCTGATGTGGGAAGGGCTCAGCCTATGGATGGGCAACACAGGTCTGAGCATGGTTATGCGTGAGCTGAGTCTGGAGTACCAGAGGGTCCGGGACCTGAAGGATGTCTTGTCTCACCACTTGGCGGTGGAGGGGGTCCTGGGGACACACCTTGATAGACAGATGTTTAATACAGATAAGAGGTTGGGGACAGAGAGGGTCTGAGAGCAAGCCTGTAGCAGATGGGTTCAGTCTTCTCAAGTGTTGGGCGGGAGCATCTATAACAGTGAGACAGAGCCAAGGTTGCAGCCAATGGCAGATGGTACTGGAAAAAATGGGGAGCAAGATTATAATCTATCCTTTCAGGTTATAATCTGTCCTTTCGGGTTATAATCTGTCCTTTCGGGTTATAATCTGTCCTTCCGGGTTATAATCTGTCCTTTCGGGTTATAATCTGTCCTTCCGGGTTATAATCTGTCCTTTCGGGTTATAATCTGTCCTTCCGGGTTATAATCTGTCCTTCCGGGTTATAATCTGTCCTTTCGGGTTATAATCTGTCCTTTTGGGTTATAATCTGTCCTTTTGGGTTATAATCTATCCTTTCAGGCCTCTGGTTCTCTGATAGTGAAATGGAAGCTGATCATGGCTCCTTTCCCCTGTAGGTCCAGCTATTCAGAAAGGTGGAGGCAGAGGATCCTCAGAAAAGACCAGGTTGAGTTACATAGTGAGATCTTGTCAAAAAAAAAAAAAAAGGGTGAGCATCATGACCTGCACGGTTGGCTTTCCACAAAGCCCAACAACCTGAGTTCAATCCTACTACCCACCTTGTAGAAGGATCTGGGTTCAATTCCTAGCAGCCACATGGTAGCTCACAACTGTCTGTATCTCCAATTCCAGGGAACCCTACACCCTCACATGCACATACATGCAGGCAAAACATCAATGCACGTAAAAATAAATAGATTACTTTAAAAAGTACCAGACAAAACCAGACTATTTAGAAAATAATCTTGAAATAAGAAAGCCCTTTAAAGCATAGCAAAAAGCCAAAATACTTTAATAGAAATGATTTGCCCATAAAACAAACAAACAAACGGCCAGCTGGGCAGTGGTGGTGCACACCTTTAAACCCAGCACTGGAGAGGCAGAGTCAGGTGAATCACTGTGAGTTCAAGGCCAGCCTGGTCTACAAAGTGAGTTCCAGGATAGCTAGGGCTATTACACACTTGAAATGATTACACTTGAAATGGATTAAATAAAAATGCTGCGGATCCTCAAGTAGCTGCAGTGGCAGAACTGCTGCAGGTCCCCGAGCAGTGGCAGTGGGCAGTGGGTCCCAAGACAGCCAGTCCCAGGCAGAGATGGAGCAGTTCCCCAAGTGGGTGCAGCAGGAGAGACACACAGATGAGCATGCCACGAAACCACGCCGCAGGTCTCCGAAGGCGATGGGTGAGAGACAGAGACATGGATAGGCATGCCATGCAGAATGAGATTGGATATTTATTTAGTGGGTTATGGAGGGGGAAGGGAGAAGGGGAGAAGAGCAGAGAGGCAGAGAGAGAGAGAGAGAGAGAGAGAGAGAAGGGGGGAAAGGGAAGAAGTGGGGTAAGGCAGAGGCTGCTTCTTTGGGAGAGAGCCGGAAAAGGAAGAGACTCAGCTGCAACCAGGAAGGAAGATCTGCCTGCCTCAGCAGACAGGAAAGGGAGTGGGCGTGGCTTGCCTCTTAAAGAAACAAAACAGATCATTACAAACCTTCCCTTGGAAAACAAAAATTACATAAAACAAACAAACAAATAAAACCAAAGAAGACATTATCTATCTATCTATCTATCTATCTATCTATCTATCTATCTCTGAGACAGGGTTTCTCTGTAGCTTTGGAGCCTGTCCTGACACTAGTTCTTGTAGATCAGGCTGGCCTTGAACTCACAAAGAAAAGATTCCCCTGCCTCTGCCTCCCGAGGGCTAGGACTAAAGGCATGCACCACCACGGCCCAAAGGAGACATATAGGCAAGTGTGTATTTTAATATACACAAAAAGAACACACGCTGGTTAATCTGAATGGGAATACAAACAGCTAAAAGACAAATGCAGAGTTTTCACGTTCACCAATAACAATCGAGAATGGAAACATCTTGATGGCAAGAACGCCCCAGGGACTGTCCTCTGCATAGGATGGTACAGGTGGCTTACTAGCCCTAGCCTATAAACCTCATGCCATTTCTCTGTGTCCCCCACATGGAAATTCCCAGTGTACAATGTGGCAGAACTGATGCTCACACAGCTTTAAACAGAAGCATCTATCTAGTAGGTGGTAGAGCCCACAGGAGGTTTCTTGCTATATTAATAACAGGAGTGTGCACACGCACCGGCAGTAGTACTTGCTTCCAATTATTCTAGAAAGATACATGTGTTCTCACTGACAGGACACTGGGCAGGCATGTAAAAGAATCCTTGTGGGCTGGGGAGATGGCTCAGTGGTTATTCTGACTAACGTCCTCTGACCTTAGGGAATACTACACCTCCCTCATACAAGGCAATTATTGTACCCACAACTCAGCAAGCATGTGGAGACCAGAGGACAACCTCAGCCATGACAAGCTCAATAGAGGCCTGAGTCTCAGTAGTTTTCCCTAAGGAAATGCCAGGTTCCAAGAAAGACCACAAACTGAGACCACCCAGGAACCACCCAGGAATAGACCATCCAAAGGAAATTCTTAACATTCCAAAAATTGTAGATAGAATCACCTGTCAGCACACACCCATTGGCTTTTCACCAGGACACCCTAGACAAATGTCAGCCAATCTGGGGTCCCGAACCTTAGAAATCCCTCACCCCCCCCCACCTTTGCTGCTATAAAAACCCAGCCCTACCTGTGCTAGGGGCTCTCACCAACACGTTGGACACCAGGAGTCCAAGTTTGCAAACTGTGTAGAAAAAGGCTCTTTGCTTTTACATACGGGACTTTTTTTGGATACTTCGAGGATCTGGGCATAACAAGCATATCCAGTTTTTCAAACGTGGGTTCTGGTGATCTGGACTCAGGTGTTCAACTGAGCCATCCTCTTTTCCCGGCAATATCATCTTCTGTTAATATTTAAATGGGGGACCGAAGAGAGGGCTCAAGGGTTAAGAGCACAGGTTGTTCTTCCAGAGGGCCTATATTAGATTCCCAGCACCTATGTGATGGCTCACAGTCCGTTCCAGGTGACCCGATGCCCTCTTCTGGCTTCCGTTGGCAACAGCCATGCACATACTATACAGATACACAGGCAGACGAAACACAAATACACATAAAATAAAAATTAAACAGGAAAATGCCATGTTAGAGAAGCTGTTGCCACCCATTAAAAGGGGCTATTTCAGAGTAACAAGAAAGCATCCGCAGAAGAACAAATTCCATAAGAAGCTGTGCTATGTGGAAGAGGGCAGGGCACCTTCACTTTGACAGGAATCAGCCTCAGCTGCTGAGGATGCCACAAGGGTGTTTGCGCGGTCGATAAGACCGTGCAAGTGACTTTAAAACCCTGTACAGTGAGTGGACCTGACGGCAGGGAGGATCGTGCTAACCCAGGACTTCCAGGGCAGTCTGGGACGCGGTTATTTCACAAAACCTCATCCGAATCCCAAGCTAAACCAAATTAACTAGCCACTAAGAAAGCTTATGCACATCAGAACCATCCATCCCGACCCAGGCTGGTGGGAGCCACTGTGTGGGGTCCAGGGGAGAGGGGCCTGGAGAGTCCGAGGGACTGGGGCAGAGGGTGCGGCCTGGGGCCAGCAGCCGGGCCGCAGGCATCCATCGGGGGAAGGGTTGGCGCACGTGAGGACGCGGAGCTTGGGTGCGGATGAAGGAGAGAGTCCCGCGCATCCAACAGAACGCCACTCACCATCTGCTGCAACCTTTCGCCCTGTGGCTGCAGTCTCAGCTCCCTAAGACAAAGGGGCCGTCCCGCCCGGTCTGCGCAGTCGTCAATCCCAGGGGACCCCGCCCCCGTCCCCACCCCCCAGTCCTGGACCACAGCGCCTGAGGGTCGGATCGTCCGCCTTGCCTCAGGCTTTTCTTGCCAAAGGACTCCTGGCCTGCGCCCCCGGACCACTGAGAGCCGAGGCCTCCGCAGCGCCTAGAGAGACCGCGCCTGCTCTTTGAGGCGGCGGCGGCGGCGGAAGCCGGCTCCCACTGTCCCTAGAAACCCGAGTACCTCCCCCCCTCCCCTCCTCCCTGCGGCCCCTCTGCTCGAGGGGGCTTCGGTCACTTCCGCCAAGCTCGTGCTTGTCTTCTAGCGATTGCCCTGGTAGTCAGGCAGCCAGGAGGACTCGTCCTGGAACCCATCAGGTTGGCTCGGGCTGCTCGGGTTTATGGTATAGTATGTGTTTAGCTGCGTAAGGAACCGTCAGTCTTCCGTCTTCAGCAGCAGCACATCCTCTAGCCTCGGCAATGTATGACTATTCCAGTTGCTGCTTGTGTTTGCCCCACTTGGTATAAGCGGTCGTTAAAAATGAGTTATTCTAGGACTGGAGAGATACAGCAGTCAACGTGCTGCGCACGCCCGAGGATCCGAGTTTGATCACTATTACCCATGTGGAAAAAAAAAAGTTGTAATCCCAGATCCCAAGACAGATCGCAGACACAAGGCAGATGTCCAGGCCTTTCTGGCCAGCCAGACTGGTTAACTGGCAAGGTCAGGCTGCCGTGAGCCTTTTCAAAAAAACAAACCATCAAGGCGGATAGCTCCTCGGATGGCTCTCTAGCCTCACATGCACACATACTCTCTGCTGGAAATTCAACTCAGGGACCCTTGTACGTTAAACACAGGGTCTCCCATTGAGTTGCACTGGATCCCACCCCTCTATTATGGTTTCATTTTTATCTCTCTAATTGTATTAGTTACTTGTCTTCCTGTTGTGACAGAATACCCAACAAAAGGGAGGGTTTATTATTTTTAACTGGTTATTAGATGTGGGTTTTTGTTTTGTTTTATGGTTTTTCGAGACAGGGTTTCTCTGTGTAACCGCCCTGGCTGTCCTGGAACTCATTTGAGCTCACTGGGATCTGCCACCACACCTTGCTAGATGTGTTTTTTATTCTTTAAAGAATGTGGTTTGGCCCAGTGGTGTTGCACACTAATCCCAGCAAAGGCAGGATCTCTGAGTTCATGACCAGCCTGGTCTACAAAGTGAGTTCCAGAACAGCCAGAATTGTTAAACAGAGAAACCCTGTCTCGGGGGTGTGGGTAACAAAAACAAAAACAAATAAACAAGTGATAACGGTTTGGGGCTAACGTCTGGAAATGGAGATTAGGAACAAGAACAGCCTTCTCAACTCCAGACCTTGTGGACCAGGTTGGAATTTGTGTGATGGAGCAAGCATTGTTACTTTGATTTAAAGTGTGTGTGTGCTTTTTGCTTTATTTTAAAGTGTGTGTTTGCATATTTGAGTTCACTGTCACTGGATGAGGGCATCAGATCCCCTGCAGCTGCAATTACAGCTGCCAGATGTGAGTGCACAGAAGCACAGCTCTGGGAGGATGAAGATGTTAGTGACGCGTACCCTGTGTGTGTGCGTACCCAGAAAGTGCTGGGTCTTGGGCAGACCAAATATCCAGGATCATCCTAGCACCTAGTTGGTGTGGGGTTTCCAGCAGCAGATGTATGCAAGGGGGCACAATAAAGAAACTGCCAGGCCGGGTGATGGTGGCGCACGCCTTTAATCCCAGCACTAGGGAGGCAGAGGCAGGCGGATCTCTGTGAGTTCGAGGCCAGCCTGGTCTACAGAGCTAGTTCCAGGACAGGCTCCAAAACCACAGAGAAACCCTGTCTCGTAAAACAAAAAAACAAAACAAAAAACAAACAAACAAACAAACAAAAAACAAAAAAGAAACTGCCAACGTGACAGCTCCATTATTAGGGTAAGGATTTTATTGTGCGTGAGAGAGAGAAAGTATCCATAGGCATCTGGAGGAGTCCAGAGTTGAAAGAAAGAGAATGCGGCAGCCGAGACAGGACCAGAGTTAGGGCAGAGGGAGAGAACAGTGGAGACGGAGAGAGAGTGAGGGAGTGAGGGAGAGAGAGAGAGAGAGAGAGAGAGAGAGGACAGAGCATAGGAGGAGAGAACAGTGAGAACATCAGGAGTGGGGGAGTGTAAGAGAGCTGGTCTCTGAAGTGTAGAACAACCACTGACTGAGTAGGGACGGAGGGAGCCGGGCCTTTGATCTGCAGCCACAGGTACTTGTCTTTCAGAGCTATATGTCCCTTCTGCCAGAGGTAAGGGAAGTGGCTCCTTTTGGCAGATGGGAAAGGGTTTCACAAGTTCCCAAGGAAGCTAGCTTTTCTCTAAGCACCAGAAGTCCTCCTATAGTCCAGTGAGCTCATTTCTGGATATCTGGGCTCCTGAGACAGAACAGAAAGAATGTACTCTGAAAACGATGGTGGATACATGTGTGGAAAGATGGCCTGGAAACCTGCGGGGGAGGAGACGCTCTATGAAGAGAGCTGCTTCTGGGTCCTGCTCTATGAGACCTGAAGCCGGAGCCCAGGCCTAAGGCACAGCAGAGCAGGGAGGAGGAGGAAGGAGAAGAGGAGGAGGAGGAGGAGGAGGAGGCTAAGCTGACTGTAGGTCTGGTTAAGGTACAGGATGGGAGGGAGAGGACGTGGAGCAACACCGCCAGAGAAGATGGCAACTGGACCCTCATGTTCAGTTGTAAACAAAGTATCAGTAGTAAATACTAAATCAGAACTCATGCCCTATGACTAAATGCTAGATGAAAGAATTACTGAGGTTCTTTCCAGCCAAAGGTCACATGACCTATTTCTGTACCTTTAGATTACAGGAATAAGCTGTGAACATGGATGTCTTGTCATGTCTTCCTTCTAGTCAGAAAGACAACAGAATGCAGAGAGAGGTCCCAAGTTGGCAGCAACAGCAAAAGGGACCCCTGTAGGATGTTTCAAAGGAGGGCTCCAGGTTTTGTGGCAGCTGGGCATAAAAAACAGTGAGCCTGGCTTCAAGTCTAGGAAGGGGAAGGCTGAATATAACAAGGGCCAGAAGAATCAGAGAGGAACTGAGGCTCAGCTTTCCTCCTCCCAGCCTCCAGGCTACTCTTTTGTATGAATTAACTGGTGTTTAACCAGCTTGGACCGCTGGCTGAAAGTCTTCCCGCAAGCAGAGCAGTCATAGGGCTTCAGGCCAGTGTGAAGGCTGAGGTGCTGGGTGAGGACCGACCGCTGGCTGAAGGCTTTCCCACACTTGCAGCACTGATAGGGCCTATCTCCAGTGTGGATTATGCGGTGCTGAATGAGATGTGAGCTCTGGCTGAAGCCCTTCCCACATTCAACACACGTGTAGGGCTTCTCCCCAGTGTGGACTTTCTGGTGGTGGATAAGATTGGAGCTCCGGTTGAAAGCTTTGCCACACTGGTTACATTCGTGCGGTTTTAACCCGTTGTGGGTCCTCTGGTGCTGAAGGAGGGTGGAGCTCTGGCTGAAGGTTTTCCCACACTCAGTACATTCATAAGGTTTCTCTCCAGTGTGGACTCGATGGTGAAGGATGAGGTTGGAACTCCGGCTGAAGGTCTTTCCACACTCGTGGCACTCGTAGGGCTTGTCTCCAGTGTGTACACCTTGATGCTGGGTGAGGGCTGAGCCGTGCCGGAAGGCCTTCCCACAGACGCTGCACCTGTACGGCTTCTCGCCGGTGTGAATGAGCTGGTGCTTCCTGAGCACAGAGCTGTAACTAAAGGTTCTCCCGCACTCACTGCACACGTGAGGCTTCTCTCCAGTGTGGATTCTCCGGTGCTGGGTGAGGCTGGAGCTCTGGCTGAAGGCCTTCCCACAGTCTCTGCACGGGTAAGGCTTCTCTCCGGTGTGGACCCTCTGATGCTTGATGAGATTCGAGAGGCGGCTGAATGACTTGCCACAGTCATTACACTCATAGGACTTCTCCCTGGTGTGAACCCTCTGATGCTTCCGGAGGTGTGCACTCTGGCTAAAGACTTTACCACACTTATCACACTCGCAAGGCTTCTCAGCAGTGTGAATTCTGTGGTGTTTAGTGAGGTGTGAGCTCCGCCTGAAGGCCTTCCCACACCGGCTGCATGTGTAAGGCTTTTCTTCAGAATGGATTCTTTGATGTTGGATGAGGTTTGAGCGCCACCTAAAAGCCTTCCCACATTCGCTGCATTCATAAGGCTTCTCAACCACAGGAGACTTTTGGCGTTTAAGGCTTGAGTTCTGGCTGAAGGTTTTCATATTTAGGTAAGGTTGCCAGTGGTTTTAAAGAACAGAGTTCTGGCTAATAGATTTCCCACATTCTGAACAGATGAAAGATTTCTCTCCAACGCTGGCTCTCTGATGCTGAACAAGGCCAAGGTTTCCTCTGAACGTTTTCCCACACCCAGTACATATGAAAGGGCTCTCAAGCATAGGAAGCCCCTCCTGGACAGTCAGGTCTCTATTGTGCTGTAAGTTCTCTGGAGTGTAGTGTGGATGTGGCCTCTCTTCTGCAGAGATTCCCTGACACACTAATGGACTTGGGCTCAAACTGAAGTTTTTGTCAAAACCATTACAAATCAGACCTTTCTCCCCTAAGAGGCCCTTAAGGAACACGGTCACTGGTGTGCCGTCTCCCTCCCAGTAGAGGGGCTGTACTAGGCTCTCACCTTCAGAGACATTTCAGTTTCTTCCTAACACTTCATCACAGCACCCTCGAGCTTTGGAGACCGAGAAACATCACCAGCACAGCCACTGGCACTGCTGTCTGATTTGTCAGAAACGTGCTCCTGGGAATACAGCGTCTCCTCAGTACTGGAATATCTGAAACAAGAAATACCAAGTCAGAGCAGACTGACTGAACAAGCAAACAGAGCGACAGATCTACTAGCCTCACTTCTATGGAGGAAGTAACGGGAGCAGGGAACCCAGACCTTGTGGATGGACTAGGAGAGCTCCTAGGTGATGGCTACATAGGCACTGAAGTATAGCAAGAACTACCTGTCCTCTCTAGGACACCAGACATCAGGATGCACTTAGAGTTTACC